CCCAAGGCCCATACGTCGCCCGGGGTCCCTCGTGTTCGTTGTACAATAAGGTCAGGCGGGACATACCAAGGGGTACCACCGGGCAGCTCCTTCTCATCCATCGTCGTAGCTAGTCCAAAATCGAGAAGAACAGCGCCGCGCTCAGGCGAATAGGCGATATTGGCTGGTTTAATGTCATTGTGGATGACCCGCTGGTCCGCAAGGTAGGCGAGGGCGGATGACGTGCCATGGAGTATCCTTTGCGCGTCGCTAGCCTTGAACGGTGAAGTAAACCCGCGGTGGAGGGACGGGGGAAGCCGCTCAACAAGCATGGCAAAGACGCGGCCGTCGAAGGCCTTCAGGGTGACTATGTTTGGCTATTCGTCTTTAGTAGAGGACCGATATACTGGTCGTTTTCGGGGCAAAAACATACGTGATGTAGCTTTTCCAGGAATGACTTTTCCCGTTTCCAGATCGACGCGCATTTTATCAGGTCTTCGGACGTCTTGCCTTTGTACCTGATCACCTTCGCCACAACCTTTTCCGATAACGCCGAGTGGCGGCCAGTGAAGAGACTGGCTGACAGCGTATCAGCAATTCGCTCAAGCCGATGAAGTCTGTAGGTGGTCTGATTGCCGCACCTAGAAACCCCGCCAGCCCCTCTACCCAGAGGCAGATGACTGACCTCGTCGTCCTTGACCTGCTTAGAACGGACGACGGCAACTCCTCCATCCGAGAGGTCAAGAAGTGGTGTACCGCCCGTTCGAGCAATCTTCCGCGAGGTTGGAATGGCGAGACTGAGGCATTTGGCACCATCGGCAACGGCAGCGTCATTTGATCTGCGTGTTACGTCTGTGGCCGTGGTCAGAACGACTTCTGCCTCTCCCCCCTCCCGTCTTCGTCGCTTGCCAGCTTTTTGCTCCTCGCCGGACGCAAGGCGCTTGGCGGAAGCTGAATAGCCAGGCAGGCCTTCATGTAAAGTGATGGTGAATTGCCTCCGCTGCATCAAGAAGTCGGCGACATGTTGCTCAGCTGTGAGGTTCTTAAACTCC